CGACCAAAAATACGTGTCAAAAAAATTCAAACCACATATATTCGTGATCGCCTCGAAGTCCTCTATCCAACGGTGTATGATATGTTCGAAAATAAAATTTCACTTTAAGTTTGCTTTCCGTGCATCTTAAATTTGTTTTATAAAATCTTGTTGATTTGATTCACTTGCATACATATGTTGATAATTACTTTTGACTGTCTATCATCTTTTAAAATAATATCTTTTTAATTAAGAATATTTTGATTCCTGATCATCATTTATGAATTGATTTATTGATTTATTACGTCTATATGTTGTTGAATTAAGATAACAATCTTCATTCATCGTCTCAAAAGTAACAGTCAGTTGTTCATTAAATATACAATGTCTTATTCAGTTGAGAATGATGTCATTTTCAATTTTTAACAAAAGTAAAATAAAAAGAAATAATACTTTAATTTTTAAAAAATATTTGACAAACAATATTCTCTCAAAAAATTTAATTTTGAACATAGTGCATGTTGTAGAAAATATGCTTCATTTGACACTTTCATTTTCTTTTCTTCTATATTACATTACGCTTACTTGGAATATCCAATTTGTTTTTGTATTATGACGATGTTTTAGATCATCCTATCAGGCACAAAAAAGAAATTAATTTCATAATTTTATTCATTATGTGAAAAAATCTATCAATTCTTGAATTGACTGACATGTCATCTTCTTTTTCATGATGAAGATGATCTAATCATAAATTCTTCTTTTTTTACAAGATACCAATAGATAGAGAGACATACATACACAGTTATATCATGATATTAAAAGATAAATTTCATCTAATAATGTTATTGGAAAATATGGTCATTTGTACAAACATATAGAAAAATTAAACAAAATCTTTTTTTCTGTGAGTATCACAGATTATGACATTAGTCTCAAAATATATCTAATAATTGTACATCTGTTTCATCGACTAGAGAATTAAATAAGAAATTCGAAAGATATGATACGAATTTCTAGGTAAAAATGAGATTCTTCTGTTATATTCTATAACAGAATGTGTCCTTGCTAGTTTTACTGACACTAAAAATTGAACTGTTTCTATTGAGAGAAAAACGGATTATTTAACAATACTTTAATTGAATATATTTGTAAAAAATCTCTATTTCCCGTTTTACTTATTTTATATAATGACAATGATAATGTCATTATGAAAACTTTGAATTCTTTGACTTATGTATATCAACAAAGAGAAAAACGTCTATAATATGATGGGATGACAACTTTGTTGTGAAGTGTGAAAGTTTGTGGTTATTTTTATTCTCTACAGTGATAATGTTTTTTCTTTTTTGTTTTGTCGTTTTTTTTCTCAATCTCATTTTGCAGATTATATTCAATACGTCTCTCGTACTCTCATCGTTCAGAATTGTGTAACCATCCAAAAAAGAAAATTTTGAGGAAAAAAAGTTAATTAACAACTGAAACGATTCTCTTCATTAACGTCGTCTCGCTTTCTTCCCATATATATATATATTTATATATACAACAAAAATTAGAGATCTTCGATCGAAAAAGAGGGAAAGAATAGTCGAAATCTTTTTAAAAAATATATTCCTTATTCTTATATATTCAAAATGTTAAATTGTCTGTGAATATAAAGCAAACAAAAACGTAAAATTTAGCAAATTATAATAAATGGCATAGAAAGAGAGTAATTAATTACAAATGAGAATGTTACACATGTTTCTTGGACATCTAATGAGTTTATTGAGAAAAGAGAAGGAATAGAATATTGGATGAAAGAAAAGAAAAATAAGTCATAAATCAAAGTAAATGTTTAAATATTTAAACAATTAGTTAGATTTTTTTTGAATAATTGGAATGTTTCGTTGAGAGTTTGTTATTGCACTCTAAAAGATACATAACGAAACACCAGACGAAATATTTTTAGAACAAAAAATACAATTTTATCATCATACTGAAGATTGTAGATGATTATACTTATTTTTAAATTTAAAGTCTTTGTGTAGTCTATTAAAATACCAGCTTTCTTTAAGTAAGTACCTTAGTAGTGAAGTGAATTGCTACACCTCGATCAGACTCATTTTAAGTAAGTTATGTAGAGGACAAGAGTCGCTTTCCATTTCTAGTTAGTCCAAGTTATTCAACTCATTTAATAACAACCAGTGGCTTGTATATTAAGTCTAAAGTGATTAAGTAAATGTGTTTTATGTCTGAAAGATTGCTTGTAGTTCCCGTTTAAAGATAAAACTCTCACTCTCACTCTGTTATTGTTATCATCATGACCGTTTATATTATTTATATACAAGCACGATATCATTTGATGACGATATCTTCATATAAACACACACAATATCGGATCAATGCCATTAAAACGCATTAGACTAAAATTTTTAATAGTATTTTTTTTTATTATTGTTATATTTAGAGTTGAAAACTCGTAGATATTTAAAAATCCCAAGAATGATGGATGACAGACAAACTAGAGTGTTCAACGTATATGTCATTTAAACATATAAAGGAGAGAAAACCTTTTGAAAATAAATGACAAAAAGAAAAAGTTATTTATTTTCGACATTACTTGAGATAGACTAAATCAACTTGGTTTCTTTCTTTCTTTCTTCTGTTCTTGTAAAAAGAAAGAATGTCACTAAAAGTATGTTATTCACTTCCTTTCTCTCTTGCTCTCTCATTCTCGCTCTCTCATTTACAGAAATGTATATATCTATTTTCTTCGAACTTGTCCATAGGCAACTAAAAAGAAACAGAAAAGAGTTACATTATTAGAATTCAATTGAATAAAAGAAAGAAAGGTGTATTATTTGATAATTATATTTTCTAAGAATAAAATAGAAGTGGATAGTGGTCAAATGCACTTTATTCATTTTATTCTATAATCGATCTATAACTTTACTTGTTTATATTTATGTTTTATTTCTACAACAATTATGCATTGATTATTATCTTGATGACTGAATGGTTTGGAAATACAACGATATTCTCCTTATTAAAAGATCCCAATTATTCATAACTATTTGTTTAATAATTAAAATTCATTCTACTTATCAAATAGAAACAATAAAAACATTAATGGGCACCGTTGTTGATCTATCGTGTATAGATAAAAATAATACGATAATCATAAATCCAATGGAGAAGGTAAGAATCGCAAAGCAGTAATCTTATTATACCGATATGGATTCCTTATAGTAGTGATAACGAGTTGTTTTAATAAAAAACATTCTGTTAGGATTGGTGAAACTTACACGTGAAACGGAGAAATCCACATTTCGAACGAGCGTCTCTTGAGCAAGAAAGTTTTCTGTTCATGCATAATATTGCATCGTTAATTGATCTCATATACTAGTTTCTGTTCTGAAAACTGTTGCTATTAAGAATCTGAATACTTCAACAGAAGCATTTAAGTTGTGGATTCATGTTTGTAGTTCTGTAATTTTCACTATGTCTATGATCAGACAGTTCTTCGTCAACTAATTCAAACAAGTGTAAACTACAACCACCATGGCTTCTTTCACTGATCATTTTGTTAGAGAAAACTCTTTTTGCGACATAAATTGCTCTGGAGTACAAAAAAGAGAAAATATTGAAAGTATACATGACATAACTTATGAATAATCATGAAGGTGCGGTGTTATGTTTGTTATTGTCCTATGTATTCTTTTATTATGAAAATACCTCTCTTTCACCTTTTATAATGCTTCAGAGAAGCACGTCTAGTCACAAAGATGTTCTAACGATAGTGTATAGACTGATGCAACACAAAGTTTTTCACCTATTATCCATAACAAAGATTAAGATTCGATAAGTCAATCTTGCATACATACTCTCTGTTATATCTGTTATAGTTAATATGGGTTCGAGATAATACTGCTGACATATTAAGCCTCGATCGAACAATCACAATCCCAAATAGTCGTCTTAGTATTATATCATCATTATATGGAAACATGGGTAATGATCGCATATTAAGAATAACAAATGTTGAAGAAACTGATAGTGGATTATATCGATGTGTTCAAGGAGAAGTGACAATAACAGAAGTTTCGCTCGATGTTCTTGGTAAGTTAGATAAATTCCTCAATCTTTGTCCTCCACAAAACTTACTGTCAGAATAGTAAAAAGTAAAGTGTTTATGTCAGTTGTGAAGGTATATTGTGTATGAATTCATTGAACTTATGTGTTATCTCAAGTGAGTATATAGTATAAAAATTGACGATTGGTAAATAAAAGTCGGCATTAACAGCATATATGTTCATCTTGATATGAAAGCTCTCTTTTTCCAGTCTGTATGATTATATCTTATCGCTTTAGAACAAAAGATTTTTTTCTTGTGTCCATAGCAGTCTTGACGACATATTTCTTGAACTTCGGTTTTATATTTTCAAATTTCAAAGGAGATTCTTTGTAACGAATGAATAACGGAGGATAGATATTTATTCAATTCTTTTATGAACATGACTTAGTGAGTGTACCTGTTTATACAAATAAAAAAACATACACACAGTAATTACATGAACATACACTTTTTACAGAAAGAGGACGTTAATCATTCTGTCTTTCTCAACTTGAGGCTGTGTTGTTATTTGCGACATTAAATTGAGAGCGATAAAAGGAAAACAAATGAGCATATGGTTATATCTATATAAAGGAGGAGATATAATCAACACACCGATTAATTAAACACCTTTATAACCCTTATTTATGTGTTTGATTTTATTCTTCTTTTTCTTTTGTGACAACAAAAAATCTTTTCCTCCTATTCTCTATTTATTTACTTGTCTTTATTAAATAACCGAAGGCTTTTAGGTTTCTGTTGCGAATTGTTGATATATCCTTTGTGTTAATTACGGAACTTTATATAGTTAAGATAAAAAACTGGCAAACGTAAATTTTTCGGATATGTCGTTTAAGAAAGAAGAGTTGCACATACAAGATCTTGATCTTGTATACTATGTACAATATGTAACATCTTCTATGAAGTCTTGTACGACAGAGACAGCATCCAGGTGGCTTTGAACTTAAGCCAAAACAGGAAGATATCAGTATTAATTAAAGAAATAAAATGATCTAATTGAATAAACAATATTATAGAGAAAAAATTATCTATCCTATCGCTCCATCGTAAATGTATCATTAGTCTAAGAAAGTTTTCTGCTGATCTGAGTTGTTCCATCAGTCTCCGGTTTTATTGAATCATTAGTTTTTTTCCAATCGTCTTTGATTATCGAGTGTTTACCGCAAACGAGATTGATGTCCGTCTGGTTATGAACAGCTGCTAACGTAAAAAGGAAAATTCTAATGCAAATATGGAAATTAATCAATGCTCTCAATCTCTATGTGTGTATATGTCACGTATAGTTCAAAATGAAATGAGCCATAGAATATATGTACAAATTACCATTGTTTATAATCCATCCTTTCTATATTAGACTATTTTAAACTGTCCACTTCATTGAATCTTTTCTTTATTTTTCCTCATGTTTATGTGTCAATGAGCGTGTCCATATTAGCCATTATAGGATGAATAAATACACAAAACAACATAAAAAGTTATTAATTGTTTTTAAAGTGATATGCATACATATTGTTACCTTTCCACACCTCTTTTCTTTCTCTCAATGTAATGTGACTAATTAACTTCTCATATTAACCATAACGAAAGATTATTAATATGTGTATATTGTATATGTCCAAATTGATCAATAAGAAAAAACAATTTTACTCTATAAAATAACAATCCGGTCTCGTTACTTATTGTTTTCTTCTATAGATAAAATTTATTTTACTATTTATTATATCAACGAAATTTCATGTATAATCAGTTATGATTTTTATGTGTATACATAAACATGCTGAGATTTGTTCATCTGAAGTGATGCTAAAAGGTTTATAGGTTGCACAAAGATAATTGTTATTATTATTCTTATATTTTAGTTCCACCAAAAATCATATCTCATTATCCACACCACATTCGCTTTACAGTAAAAGAGGGTGGGAATGCGAAATTTTCGTGTAGTGCCAGTGGTAAACCAATACCAAAAATTATTTGGCAAGTCAATGGTTTATTGAGATCATCAAATAGTAAGTGATTGACAGAAAAATAGAATTATTATTGTCATTGTTCTCTTATGACTAGCTTCTACTCATGCCATTATTACATCATAATTTTCCTAAATTAATTTTAATTTCATTCATTATGAAAGGAAATTAAATTTTTTCGGTCATATTCGACATTATTTAAATTATTTTTCTCTTTTCATTTAGTAATTAAAAATGAAAGTAGTACATTTATACTTCATAATGTATCAAGAACAGATAGCGGACGAGTCGAATGTATTGCTGATAATGAACTAAGTAAAGTTAGTCGACAATTTCTTCTTAATGTTAAATGTAAGTTAAATGATGATGTTATCTTAGTCATTAACAAATTTGATTTGTTCAATCTGAATTATTAGATAAGCCAACGGTGACTGTTCCATCAATGTTACCGTTGCATTTTCGTTTATATGATACAGCTACTCTTGTCTGTATTGTTTGCTCAAATCCACTACCATTGAAAATTAACATATACAAACAGATGGGCTATTTTAATTTTAAAGAAAAATTTGAAATAAAATTGAATGATACATGCACCCAATTAACGATCACGATATCCGTAAATATTTAACATATCAAAGATGGTGCTTAAATGTATGACTTCTAATATATTTTAGATAAAAGATCCAACATTATTCGGTCTCTATGTTTGCAAATCTAAAAACAATCTGGGGAGTGCTCAAACGGAACTATTTGTTAAAGGTAAAAAGGAGCAAATATATATTTTAATAATTTTTAAACTTTTAATTTATCATGTTGCTAGAACTTGTATCAATCAAGCAATCATCTACATCACAAGTAAAACGAAATACCGAACCCACATATTTAGCCGATGTTTCAGAATCTTGTGAGTGCACGTAGTTTCAAAAACAATGTAGCATCGTCTACACAAAGAAACAAACATAAAGGCTAATAATGTAGAAAAACATTGAAATCAAGTGCAATTTTAACCTTCCTGATAAACTTCAACAGTGAACCATTCATACAGAAGTTCTCCCTACAAGACCGCAAATAGGAGCAGACCATTAGGGGGGGTGTAAAACAAAATTTCTCTTTGAGGTAGTGTGAAATCGATAAAAATAAATTATGAGCCAAGAATAATGGATAAAATAACAATAGCTTTTTCAGTTATTCGGGGGGTGAGCAAAGTTATTTGCGGCCTTGTCTCTCTATACGGCTATTGGTGTCGGTAGAATGTGGTAACAAGCTAGACGTGTCACTTTCTGTTACACCGATACCTTCTCTACAATTAGTGCTCTTCGAAAATACTAGTTATCATACTGCAGCTATGACCAGAAGACTTGCCTGACATAGAACTCTTTTACACAATTGCCTGAACCCTTCATACACACTTACTAACCACGTACTAGCATTCAAGCAACTCACAACGGAGTACGTATGCGACCTATCGTTTTTAGACATAAGTTAAGCTATACTGATTTGGATTAACCGCTGACTAGTGCGAAGTATTGTCTCATTTAACGTTCTGCTTGTAACATCCCTTCTGTTTGACTTTTAGCTCAAGATGAAGATGGTTTGATATTCAAGTCCAATGCAGCTGCCCATAATTGTCATACGCATCATACAATACATTCTAGCAGTTATATTTTTTCAATATTAATATTTGCTTATTATTTGTTACGATTACATTCAAAATTGTTTAATGATCTTGACATATAGTTATCATAAATGGTTGAAGTATTACTCACCAACGTGAACATTACTTCTAGTGTAACACCCAAGTATATTAAATAAATGGAATAGGTTTTTCTGTATTATATATACTTTTTTACTTCTGATATGGATATTTTTATAAGAATACAGCAAATGATATAAGTTCTCAAATGCGTTACACGAGTCGTGTGGATACAAACTAATCAAGATTAGTTGATTGTTCCAATCACTAGTTTCCATATTTATTAGAAATACTGACAACATTTCTGGTATATAGTTTAGCGATGAATGTGAAATTGTCATATTACAAGAAAATCTTATCGACTGAGTAACACCCTACTCCACGTACTGTCAAGCAACTAGTACAAGTGAAGTTGAAGATTAATTATCTTCTCAAATAACAACCACTTGTATTAGCAGACAGTATATATACCCTACTGATGACTATCATGAGACTGTTCATTGTCTCGTACGAGAAGAGCATATTTCTGTAAAGTAACTACATAAAACAGCCTTCGATCGGTCATCTGCAGTTGAGGAAGATTCTAATCTGTTCTTCACATCTGTACAATACAACGCTACTCTCTAAAAAAAGACAAGATGCCATGAAGAACCTTTCAAGAGACCAGGACTGCGTCCATTTCTGAACTTTTAAAGAGTTCGACAGGAGAAAATATTCCGTGCGGAGCTATCCTAGCGGGAACTTTCTTCTATTTTTATTTTTTCTAAGCCAGCTTATCATCCCAGCAGTTCGAATGAGTTTTCAATATAAAATTGCGGACCAAAAACAGTTGACTTTGATTTAGTAGTAGTATTATTTATTCACAAAAAGTGAGAATCATCAGAGGTCCCCGATCTGTAATAACAATGACTCGAACTAACAAAATAGCAAGGACCATTTGATAAAAGAAAACTAGAGTAATGAACAGAGACAGATCAAGTAAATTTATGGTTCAATTCTTTTACGGTTGTCATGTTTGAAAGCGAATATTATATTGCACTCTCATTTTGCTTCGCATAGTTGATGAAATACAGAAATAATCGGTGATTATGCTTGATCATTAGAGAAACAACGATCATAGTTCACAGACAGTCGAGAGTTATGATGGGTACAGCTGCATTACGAGAAGAGAGAAAGAATGAAGCTGACTCGAGAGACAAAATTCGAACTGTGCGAAAATAAGACGTTTTTATGATGAAGACCAATGAGTTTCGTATTGTTTCGTTCAGTCAGCTTAAAGTAAAATCGAGGAAAACTTGTCCGACTTCTCTCGAAGCTTTATCTCATATGCTGAAAGTATATATGAGTGAATCGTATATTCGTTGTACAACTGAGGAAAACAATTGAAAGTGTATCTAAAAAAAATCTGAAGTGTACATTTTGTTCAGCATAATTTACTGAGTATGTAGCCAGAATTTCCAAACTACCAGACTTTTATGGGCTGAGTTATAAGGTCCCAAACTTGCGCTAGTTGTCCTAAAAGGTCTTTGCGTGTTTTGCCGTCACTTTACATGTTCAACTTATTACTGTCATACATCATTCGATAGATCTCGATCTAGCCTCTCTGCCTTCACTGTCAGTGATCAAAAATGACAAAATAAGTGCTAAAAATCCCCCAAAACAGCTGCAAAAGCTAGGTTTTGTAGCTTTGCTAATTTTCTGCTTGTATTTCTGATCGTACGATACTGAAACTATTTTCTGCTTAAAAGAAGGGGCCATAGTCTAATACAGAGCAAAGAAAATAGCCTAAAATACTGAGCAAAGCACGAGCATTCAAATGATGTACGATAAGATGGTTTTCAACTAAAAGTGACAGAAGAGCCACATCGAAATTAGAGACCTGCAACCCGACCCGAACCCGATCCTAGGGTCGGGTCGGGTTCGGGTTAAGATGTTGTCGGATCGGGTTCGGGTTGAGTATTTAGCGGCGCAATTTAAAATATAAATAATATTTTTAGCTTTGTATTACTGGTTGAAAGTTATCTCTACTGGAATTTTCAGTTGAAAGACTTGTTTCAGAACAACTGCATTCACTAAGTCGATTAATGATTGCTGTCTTTGCACATACGAGAGTGCTTCCTGCACTGAAATCAATGGCAATACATCCCTTACTGCTTTTTTTCAATGTACTGTTTTAAACACCCGTACATAGAAGACTTTACTATAATGCTCTCTACTTGCTATCTTAGTATTAGGTGATACTGACTGACCAATGAGAAAAAGGATGTGGTCATCATCTCGGTTAAGATAATCTATTGACAAAGTGTACTGAGGAATTTTCAATAGATTAACCTTTTAGACAAAATCAGACGTCGTTCAAAAATTTTTTTTTGAATTACGAGGTTCTACAATATGCACCGAAAAACTTTTGTCTAACAAGGCAAGTCTATATTCTTTCTCAAACACAGTTTTCTGGTGAGCGGCTTGTCCACGTAACTCGAGACTTCGCTGATCAAGTTTTTGAAAAAATTATTTTAGAGTAGAACTGATAGGAGCATATCACTAGATGCAGTTTTCGACGCTGATTCCAAAAGTAGAGTATGGTGAGCTGCGTCGAACGGCGCAAGGACGACGGTTCTAGCTTATACACTTTTTGAGGAAAGCTCAAATTACTGTGTCCAAATTGTCACAGCGTCACGCTTGGACAAGCCGTGAGATTGTTTTCATCGGGTCGGATTCGGGTTCAGATGTTATCGGGTCGGGTCGGGTTCGGGTTAAGTTGTTGTCGGGTCGGATGGGGTCGGGTTCGGAGTAAGTTGTTGTCGGGTCGGGTGGGATCGGGTTCGGGTTAAGTTGTTATCAGGTCCGGTCGGGTGCGGGTCGGCATTTTGGCGGTCGGGTTCGGGTTAGGTGTTCTTAACCCGAAATCTCCGAAATTTCGAAAAAGTCAAGTCTGTGGTCGAAGCACACATTTTTATCTCGCTCTACAAAGTGATCGTAAAATGTTCGTCGCCGTAAACCAGGGGCATTATGCTGAAAAAATTAAAAATGAATGACATGGTTTGATAGAGAATTCGACGCTCTACCAAATGTGCTATTCAAGCTTTTTCTTTGTCTTGTTTTGTTGAGCAAAAATTGGTTTTTCGATCAATGACTCATCGAAAAAACGGGTGTTTTCATACACTGACTCACTTTTCTCGGCAACTACAACACATATCGGTCTGATATTTTACAGTGTTGGGCCTAGATATATGGGCCACGCACAGAAAATTTCATCAAAATTGGTCCACAGGTTAAAAAGTTATGCACGGAAAAAGTAAAAAACACAATTCTACAACGAATATACGATTCACTCATATGTTTGTGCCTTTTTCTTTCACTGTTCTCTTTCTTTTTTATTTTATTTCTTACTCCCCCTGAGAAGCACGTGTACTTTGAATAAAAAGACACATGTTTTAAAATTTTCGTTGTATTCGTCCTACTTCGCAGTCGTTGTTAATATATGAACATTTCTCTACACAATGACGCAAAACCTTATGAGAATGCTTGGGAGTACTTGTGCTATATGCAAAATTCGCATGCGCTTGTCTCTTTATCTGAATGTCTAGTAATGGCCTGAATTGCTTATCATAAACGGGTGTTGAGTCTGATTAGATGTGGAAATGAGATTTATTTTGTCACATATTGAATATGAGTATAACAAAAATGAAACATTATATGCGATAAAATACTACGGTTATGAACAGTTCAGTTTCTTGTGGAAAATGTTCTCACTGTTTATTTGGTGTCACCGCATTTACACTTGTCTGGTCCGCCGCATTCACAATTGTCACATGTACAGCCAGCCTTGCCGCAACCCTCTAGAAAAAAAAACACTCATTTCAATAAAGACTTGAACCGAGAAAGATAATTATCATATACGTACTTCTGCATTTACAAGCATCATCACAAGTGCATGAACCTGCACCTTGACAACCTTTTCCAGGGCATGCACATTGACCAGCTAATAACAATAAATTCGTAATAACATGGTAGAGATAACACTGGAGATTTTACTAACCTTTACAAGAACAAGTTTTTGGCATTTTGAATGGTTATTTATTAACAGTTAAGTTAAACAAATAGAAAAAGAGTAGTAGTGCTTTCGAATTGGATCTATTTGCAAATATGCTTGGTACTATTTTAAATGTTTGACTTTATACCCTCTCGAAATACAGAAAGAGGTGTGTTAATTATTTTCCTCTCCACGGCAAAAAAAAAGCTTTTTTTCATGCTAGAATTTTCTCGACGGATCTAATCATATGTGCGTGAACAGAAAAACATCGTAAAATTCGATGTACAGACGGAAATTTGGATGTCATCGGTCATCTATATGCATACTACTCTCGTGAAAACTAAAGACACTCTAGCACCCCCGTTAATAATACGTACTTTAAAACGTTAATGCTTCTCAGGGGGAGTAAGAAGTAAAATAAAAAAGAAAGAGAACAGTGAAAGAAAAAGGCACAAAAATATATACATTCAGCATATGAGATAAAGCTTCGAGAGAAGTCGGACAAGTTTTCCTCGATTTTACTTTAAGCTGACTGAACGAAACAATACGAAACTCATTGGTCTTCATCATAAAAACGTCTTATTTTCGCACAGTTCGAATTTTGTCTCTCGAGTCAGCTTCATTCTTTCTCTCTTCTCGTAATGCAGCTGTACCCATCATAACTCTCGACTGTCTGTGAACTATGATCGTTGTTTCTCTAATGATCAAGCATAATCACCGATTATTTCTGTATTTCATCAACTATGCGAAGCAAAATGAGAGTGCAATATAATATTCGCTTTCAAGCATGACAACCGTAAAAGAATTGGACCATAAATCAAAGTCAAAATTTTGAAAGATGTTGAAGCTTGTTTCATAATGAAGCATTTAAACAAAGTTAATGAAACTTGGCGCTTCGAGGTTCAAAGTATGGTCTTTCTAGTGGTAACATCAGAGACAGGATGGGTCAGGTCTAGGCCAAATGTCCAGACCTGACCTAGCAAAAGCGGACTTGGACCTGTAAGACGTGAA